TCCGTAGGGCCACCACCGTGGGCATAAGACCTGCAAGTGTCTCAAGAGTTGTGTAAAAGGGGGTTTTTCTTTTCTAGAGAGGAATAAGGAAAAGCAGGCATGACCAGGTGTGATGATGACCTGGGGGGGTTCCCTGAGGCCAGCCTGTCCACAGGAGGGGTTGTGTGTGGCTCAGGCTGAGGGCGGGTCCACCACGTTCAGGGTCTGGAGGAAGGAGAGAAGCCAGACGAACGTTGAAGCAGCAAGCGTTTTGTGCCCATGGGTCCGTGGGGACAAGCAGCTGAGCGTATCGTGGATGAGGCACAGAGTGTGGATTTGGGGGGTCTGTGCCTGGCCCTGGGGTGGATGAACAAGGGGGACTTCCCTGTGAGTCCTATCTTGGTGGCATGGGGAAGGGGACCCTCTGCCGTGGGGTTTCTTGTGCTGTGTGGGTGCAGCTGGCTGCTGATCCGCACGGGCTCACACTCACTGCTCCCGCATGTGTCCGGAGAGGCCCTTGCAAGCGGGGAGAGTCCGTGTGGGCGACACGACTTTCGTCTTTGGGGCATATTTGCAGGAGTAGGCTCTTGATAGTCTCAAGTATTAGTGTCTGCCACTGTGCTGCCCCCAAGATGACCAGTGTCCTGCCCCTTGCAGATGGTAAAACTGCCGTGGAAGAAAGAGTGCTTGCTGAGAGTTTCTGAATTTTAGAGGGTTCGGGTGGGGAGAAAAGTTAAATGTTTCAACTTGTTCAGAAAGGAATACTTTAAAATAAGTTATAAAAGCTGTAATCAGGGGCTCCTGGGTGGCTCAGCCAGTTAAGCGGCTGCCTTCGGCTCGGGTCATGATCCCAGAGTCCTGGGATCGAGCCCCACATCGGGCTCCCTGCTCGGCGGGAAGCCTGCTTCTCCCTCTGCCTGCCACTTCCCCTGCTTGTGCTCTCTCTCGCTCTCTCTCTCTGTCAAATAAATAAATAAAATATTTAAAAGATAAAAATAAAAATAAAAAAAAATAAAAGCTGTAATCATCTTTAATTCATTCAGTCCCAATTTATTTATTTATTTATTATTTCTGTTTGAACACAGCTTTCCCATTATTTTTCGAAATTCTTACCCAGTTCAGTTGTATGGCCTTAAAGATATCAATACCTGTATCCCCCCCCGACCAAAAAAAGCCCCTTTCATGAATCTCCTTTAAGACCAAACTCATTTTGCAAGAGCATCCAAACAATAAGTGTAAATGGCAAAATTAAAACTCAGAAATGGCCATGGTTAATGATCTGATAGCAGACTTCGTTATAATGTAGCTGACAAGGAAATCTGGTTCTTCTGTGACACCTAGCATTTTAATAATTAGAATGTCAAGTGATGACCCTCTACCTTAGCATATTAAAACTTTAGGGGTTTTGGGGCACCTGGGTGGCTCAGTCGTTAAGCGTCTGCCTTCGGCTCAGGTCATGATCCCAGGGTCCTGGGATCGAGCCCCGCATCGGGCTCCCTGCTCTGCGGGAAGCCTGCTTCTCCCCCTCTCCCACTCCCCCTGCTTGTGTTCCTTCTCTCGCTGTGTCTCTCTCTGTCAAATAAATAAATAAAAATCTTAAAAAAAAAACTTTAGGGGTTTTATGTAATTTCTAAAACAGTTATAGCATTTACCCATACAATACAACCTAAGGCTCATCGTTGTTTGACAGCACTTCCCAAGTACATTAACATACCAAATATACAAGCCTAATTAGTCAAGAAAAAAAAAAAAGACTTCGTTTACCATTACTTCTTGGGGAAGTTTGTGAAAACCCTCAGAAAGTTTTAAAACAAATGCCTAAATAGGATTATAGATCATTATACATTCTGAGAAGTTTTTTGTTTTTTGTTTTAAATTTTATTTATTTATTTGACAGAGAGAGACACAGCGAGGGAAGGAACAGAAGCAGGGGGAATGGGAGAGAGAGAAGCAGGCTCCCAGCTGAGCAGGGAGCCGACGTGGGGCTCGATCCCAGGACCCTGGGATCATGACTCAAGCCGAAGGCAGACACTTAACAACTGAGCCACCCAGGCGCCCCACATTCTGAAAAGTTTTAACTTTAAATAATGGAAGACCTGATAAAGACAAAACATAGAAACTTTGGTTTTTCTGGGCAGATAAAGAAAGGAAGAAACTGTTTCTTTACACTTTCTTATGAAGAGCCGAACGACAATCCAACAAAAGTTTGTCCTTTTTCACAGAGAATAATGCAGAGTTTCAGGCTTAGACCAGTGTATTTTAAAAATCCATTTATTTCCATCTTAGTCCATCCTGACCACACACACATAAAATTATTTTCTAAAGCTTTCCCTACACAAACTTTCTACAACATTCTTTTGTGTTCAGATTTTGTCCTAAGGTTATGCTCTCTAAATAACCAGTCTCATTTTAGGACAAAATTACTTTCTTTCACCACTTCAAAATGTATTCCCATCCTTTATGTCTTTCTTATACATCTCTGATTCTCCTATATATACAGCTGTTTTCCTGATTTCCATCAGTCTTAATTACATTTAGCAGAATTGTAACTCTTAGAAACCTTATTCTCCAGTGAAAACCAGTTGTTGACTGTCTGATAAACCAGGATTCTTTTTTTTTTTTTTTTTTTAAGATTTTACTTATTTATTTGATGGAGCGAGCGGGGAAGCAAGCTTCCCACTGATCAGGAAGCCCGATGTGGGGCTCCATCCCAGGACCCCAGGATCATGACCTGAGCTGAAGGCAGACGCTTAACTGACTAAGCCACCCAAGTGACCCTACACCAGGATTCTTTAGATGGCAAATTTATGATTGTTAGGAATGTGCTTTTTTCTTAGTATAGTTTCTCAATGAGGTTTGTCCTAAGGTTATTCTCTCTAAATAACCAGTCTCATTTTAGGACAAAATTACTCTCTTTCACCAGGGTTCCATGGAGGGGACGTACCCTTTGATCTGGGAGTTTGTACTGAGGCCAGGAAACATTACATGACAAGATGAGATGTTTTTTCTCAGGTATTGAAGGCCAATTTTTTTTCCACTCTTTAAAAATACATCCCAAGGGTGAGTCCAAAGGGATCGAGGGGATTTGCCTCATAGTGGGAAAGCACTTCTGCCAATTTCCAGAGGGGCATCCCACCAAGGGGAATGGGGCTCCAACTCAAGGTTGTGATTTCAGTCAGGGCATCCACTGACCTGAGGACGGAACAGACCTCACACGGGGTGACTGACCCTAGTGGGTTGTCCCACTGAAGAGAAGGTCATGAGAAATAGCAATAGTAATCCCTGCTGGGGTGTCTCCTGCAACAGGGAGGGCTGGGCACTGGGTGGCTTTAATCTGGGTCAGAAAAAGGAAGGGAAGACTCACCACTCAGACGCATGGGAGCATGTAGGACCGTAGATCAACGTGGCAGCTGGATACATGGGAACAAAGGAATGAAGTGGGGGGGGTCCAAAGAAGCAAGGTGTCTGAGAGTGAGCCAGCACCAGGAAAGGACCCCAGCCAAGTCTGTAACATATGCAGATTAGCCCTGGACCAGCTGCCCTTGCCAGCTGGACCACACATTGGGAAAAGTGAGCACGCAAGGAAAGGGTTCCCTTCACGCTCTCAGATGTGGGCCAGAGACCTTCAGTTATCTGAAGAATACTCAGGTTAGACCCACTGTTGGCTAAAAAGAGAAAGGAGAGGGAGGGAAGAATCCTCTCCCCAAGGGCAAGAGGGGAAATCCCTCAACTTTCAGGCAAGTGTGGTCCTGTGGGTTCCCTCTGGGGCTTCAGATCCTCATTGAGGAGTAAGTTAATCACCCAAAGGTCGTCAGTTCCCCAAGGAGTACTGGAGTTGGATCACTGAAGGAAAGTCCTGAGAAATTCCCAGAGAATGTGGGCAGAGTCCCAGCCCCGCAAGTCAGGTGGTCCCTGTAAAGACCACCAAATGTGGGGCAACCGATTGGGTGGAGCTGGCGGCATAGATGGGGAAAGAATTCACCCAAGGCAGAACAAGGAGATAGAAGTGTACTGAATACACCACAAGGGATGGCAGGCAGGACAGCAGAGGAGAGCCTGTCTGCCACGAGGTGGTGATGAGGGGCTATAGTAATGGGGGATTGTGAGGGGATATGCAATCCTATGGAATTTCCCTGTTTTGATAACTGTGCATTACTTTGGTAAGTAGTCCTTTGGTTACTTAGGGCCTCTGGCCATTTCCAGGTCACTTAATGAGCCTGTTAGCATTCAGCTGTGTAGTCACTGTGAGCCCTTTGCCTTGTTGCTTATCTTTCCAATCCTCAAGCCTGTTGCCTGAAAGCAGCCCCTATGTTATGTACCCCTCCCCTTCTGCTAAAGTAACCCTGGGCTCCATTACCATCAATCCCTCAGGGGCTCTTCTTCCTGGTGCCCTTCTCCTTGAATTCTGGGCACTGGGGTATATATTTGAGGTCCTGCTGACTTCCATGATTCTTCCAGAACTGGAATTCCTCTTATGCACCAGGTGTGCCAGGTCCCTGGTCCCTGTGTCACAGGGACTCACAGTCCACCTGATCCAGGGAAAGGGTCGTGTCTGCCTCTGCCGGGATACAGGGGACTGCACCCGGCTCCTTGACCTTGTTGCCTTCCAAGGAGAGGTCTGCTCAAGTCAAGTGTCCACAACATCCTGACGTTCTGCTTCCAGTTCTTGGAGCTGACAAGGCTATAATCATCTTTGAGCAAGTCAAAGATATGTTGTCTGAAAAAGTATTTCATTTTTCATTTTTACCGTACTAGAGTGCTCGGATCTGCTCTGAGTCAGCAAAAATAGCCTATATTTGGGTGTATGTAAGTCTGTATCAGCTGTTGTCATCACCCTCTGCTTCGGGTTCCCAGCCCTGCCCATCACTGAGTGCGCGGCAGCGGATGTGCTTGCGTGTTGTCACTTCCCACACGGGTGTGACTCAGGTCCTAGGAATGGAGTGCAGTCCCCTGCGTGTCACCGCCCCCATCCTCCCACACACATGGGTGAGGGGGGAGCCTTGCTGCAATAGAATTTGTGGATGTTTCAGGACGCGGTGGTCTTTGCGGATGTGGCTGTGGACTTCACCCCAGAAGAGTGGGCTTTGCTGGATCATGGTCAGAGGAGGCTCTACAGAGATGTGATGCTGGAGACCTGCAGGAACCTGGCCTCACTGGGTAAGGACAGCTCCACCCCTTCACCAGAGTTTTAGGGAATGAATGTTGATCTTACTGGTGCGGAGGAATGGGAATATGTTGAAGAAGAGACAGACATGGTCCAAGTCTTCATGGAAACTACCTAGGGTCACATACCTTTTCTTTGAAAACAGTTTCATGTGTTAAATTGATTTTTTATTAATCTTGATCCAAGTCTGAAACTCCCTAATTTTATAAATGTGAATGTGGCCTCCAGTGTGGCTCTGAGGGTGTGGCCAGCACCTGCTTTATCCCTCCTTACTCATGTCTGACTGTCTTCCATTCCCCCCTCAAGAGATTGGCCCCAAATCATTGGGAATTGGGGCGATGACCGCTCTGGCTTTTCAAGCTTTTGTTGTGTGGAGTATTGTGAAGATCTGGGGAGTCCATCACTTGCTGAGTATCGAGGAGAGAAGGTGGTGGTGGCTGTTGGTGTCTTTCAAGGAACTTCCAAAAGGGAAAAAGTTGTAGGCATCTAAAGGTTGATATCCTTGGTTGAGGACCAGTTGGAACTTGATGGCCTGGAGGAGACAAAGAATAGCAACATACTGATTAGTTTTGTTCCAAAGAGTAACATTAGGAGAACTCCTAGAGTGAGGGGAATAAAGGGAGTAAGGGTATAATTGTAAGCATTTGTGGACAGATTACCCAGGAACACAGGTGTTCCCTTGTTATTAAATCTTTTATTTTTAAGGCAGAGAGGGAAGTAAAGACCCTGGAGGTAGGGATTAGTAACCATTGAGCCAGTGGGTGAAGAAGACAGTTGAGTTATAAAAAGGAAATGATGGCTATGGCAAGCCCTATTTCTAATAAGATGACACAGGAAAAAAAAGAGAAGACTTGTAGGTCATGGAATCTTTTTTGGAGAGTAATGTTAGATCTTTGAAGAGGTCACAGGATAGGCACCGGTGGTGTTTGCCAGGGGATGATTCCAGGGTTTGACTCTGGAGCAATGGATCCAGTCAGGGACTCCTGGTACCTTGATGGCTGTAGGGGAAGATAAAAGAACCAGGAAAAGCCCTTTCCACACAGGCGTTAGTTGGCATTTAGGGAAGCCCCCTTTTCAGACCTTGATTAGACTTTGTTCATTAGGTTCATATAGAGAAGGTGCCTCTTGTTGGGTAGTGGAAACTGTTAGGCTGTATTTTTTAAAACCTGTTGAAATTTGGATAAAGATAATATGACTTTGTATCCCTAGAGTCTCTGTCTCTACCAAGAGGTCTGTAGTAAGAAGGATTGCTCATAGAGGACTTCAGAAGGTCTCAAATCCAGGGCCTCCTTGGGAGCTACGTGACTACAGAGAAGGGAAATTGGCAAGGCTTCTTTCCAGTTCAGTGATGTTTTTTGTGCGAGTTTTTTAATAATACCTTTTAGGTAGTGGTTGGCCCTTTCCACCTTCCCAGAGGACTGTGGCTTTCAAACACTATGAAGGTGGTATTTGATACCTAGTACTTTGGAGACAGATTGAACTATGGTGGCCACAATAGAAGAGTCCATTGTCACTCTGAAGTGACTCTGAGAGGCCAGATTAGGGGATAATTTCATGCAGAAGTTTGTTGACTACTCAATTGCCCTTTCAGTCCATGTCGGGTATGCCTCTGTCCACCCTCTGAAGGTGTTAAGAAACATGAGAGGAGGTATTTGTATCCTCTGCAGGGTGGCATCTGAGTAAAAATCCATCTGCCGGTCTTCTCCCGGGTAGGATCCATACCTCTATATTGGTTGGACTAATTGAGGTTGATGGACACCCTGGGTTGGTATATGTGCAAGGCAAGAGGAGGTTATTTGTTGAACCACCTGGGAAAGTCCTTTCTGTTGAAACATTCTGGAAATGACAGTTTGTAAGGCATCTTGTCCTAAATAAATAGAGTGATGAAGGACTTTAATTAGTTTCCATTGACAATTTTGAGGAATGGCCAATACTTGAGTGGGGGAGCAAATGAGCAAATTGTCCACATATTGAAGGGTAGTTCCCCGCTCAAGTTGTTAGTTTTGTGAATCCTTAGAGATGGCTTGGCCAAACAGATGGGGGCGCTGTCCCTGAATCCCTGTGGGAGTAAGTTGTTGGGTGGGCCCAAAAGGGGTGGCCCATTCAGATGCAAACAGATTGGGATTGTTGAGCCAATGAGATGCAAAAGAAAGCATCTTTAAGGTCCAGGACCATAAACCCAGAGGCTCTTTGGAGGAATGGTACCCAGGATGACATGGATTTGGCATGGTTGGGTGTAGGGATGCAACAGCCTCATTAATGGCTCACAAGTCTTGGACTAGGTGGTAGCTGTTTCCTTTTTTTAACTGCTAGGATGGGAATGTTGTAGGGTGAAGTTGTGGGGGGTAAGAAGCCCATGTTTTAAAACTTGGCTCGGGTCGTGATCTCAGAGTTGTGAGATTGTGCCCCACATTTGGCTCTGCACTGGGCATGGAGTCTGCTTAAGATTCTCTCTAACCCTCCCCATCCCTCTCTCTTTCTCTCTCTATCCCCCATCCCTCTCCCTTCCTCCCTCCCTAAAAAAATAATAATAAAATAAATCCTTAAGACTTTACCAAATACTATTAGAACTAACAAATGAATTTAGAAAAGTTGCAGAACACAAAATGAATATACCAAAATCTGTTGCATTTCTTTTTCTCTTTCTTTCTTTCTTTTTTTCTTCTTTCTTTCTCTCTCTCTCTCCCTTTCTTTTTTTTTACTTTTAAAGATTTTATTTATTTATTTGACACAGAGAGATAGCAAGAATAGGAACACAAGCAGGGGGAGTGGGAGAGGGAGAAGCAGGCTTCCTGCCGAGCGGGGAGCCCGATGCGGGGCTCAATCCCAGGACCCTGGGCTCATGACCTGAGCTGAAGGCAGATGCTTAACGACTGAGCCACCCAGGCGCCCTCTCTCTCTCTCTCTTTCTTTCTTTCTCTTTCTCTCTCTCTCTTTCTCTTCCTTCCTTCCTTCCTTTCTAAGTAGGTTCCGTGACCAGCATGAGCCCAACGTGAGGGCTTGAACTCATGACACTGAGCTGAGATGAGGAGTCAGATGCTTAACCGACTGAGCTACCCAGGCAACCCTCTGTTGCATTTTTTAAAAAATATTTTATTTATTTATTTGTCAGAGAGCACAAGCAGAGGGAGAAGGCTCCCCACTGAGCAAGGAGCCCAATGTGAGACTAGATCCCAGGACCTTGGGATCATGACCTGACCCAAAGGCAGACACTTAACTGAATGAACCACCTAGGCGTCCCCCTCTGTTGCATTTCTATGTCAGAAAGAGAAATGAGGAAAACAGTCCCATGTTCAATTCTTTCAAAAAACAATAAAATACTGTGAATAAATGTAACCAAAGAAGTTGAAAGACCTGTGCTCTGAAAGCTATAAGACATTTAATGAAGAAAATTGAAGATGGACATAGTAAATGGAAAGATAAACCTTTGTCATGCCTTGTAAGTATTAATATTGTTAAAAAATGCTCAGACTTTGAAAAGCACTCTATATATTCAATGCAATCCATATTCTATACAATAGAAATAGTGTTTTTCAAAGAACTTTAGCAAAAAAACAAAACCTCTAAAATTTATATGGAAACAGAAAACATTGCACCTAAACAAAGCGGTGTTGAGAAAACATATTCAAGTTGAAGATATAACAACCCCAGATTTCAAACTGTACTACAAAACTAAAAAATCGAAACAGTATGGTACTGGCACAAAAACAGACACATAAACCAAGGGAACAGAATAGAGTCCAGGATTTAACCCATGTTTATATGGTCAAATTATCTACAAAAAAAAAGGAGTTGAGTATATACAATAGGGGAAAGACTGTCTCTTCAGTAACTGGTGTTAGGAAAACGAGACAGCTACTTGCAAAAGCATGAAACCACCTTATTACACCTTACACAAAAGTAAACTCTATGTGGATTCCATACCCAAGTGTAAGACTTGAAACCATATACTTCTTCTTTTTTTTTTTTAAAGATTTTATTTATTTATTTATTTGACAGAGTGGGAGAGGGAGAAGTAGGCTTCCCACTGAGCAGGAAGCCCGATGCGGGGCTCGATCCCAGGACCCTGGGCTCATGACCCGAGCCGAAGGCAGATGCTTAACGACTGAGCCACCCAGGCGCCCCTGAAACCGTATACTTCTTAAGGCAGAACAGAGGCATTAAACTCATGGACATCAGCCTTAGCTGTATTTTTGTGGAATTATCCCTTCAGGCCAGGGAAACAAAAGGAAAAATATAAAATGGGGTAGAGGAACATAATAGACATTTTCCCAAAGAAGATACACAGATGGCCACTAGGCACATGAAAAGCTGCTCAGTAACAATAATCATCAGGAAGTGCAAATCAAAACCACAATGAGATACCACCTCAAAGCAGCCAGATAGGTATCAAAAAGACAAGAAATAACAAGTGTTGGTGAGAACGTGGAGAAAAGGCAACTCATCTTTGCTGGTGAGAAGGTACTTTGGTGCAGCCACTGTGTGGGAAACAGTATGGAGTTTGCACAAAACAGTAAACACAGAAGGACCGTATGGTCCTTAATTCCACTTCTGGGTGGTTCACCTTAGAAAAAAACTAACACAAAAAGATATGTGCACGACCACATTCACTGTGGCGTTAGTTACAGTACTCAGCATATGGAAGCAACCCACGTGTCCATCGACAGATGAATGGACAATAAAGATTTGGTATTCACATACAAGGGACTGTTACTCAACCATATAAAAAGGATAAAGTCTTGCCATTTGTGACAACATGCATGGACCTAGAGGGTATTCTTCCAAGTAAATAAGACAGAAAGACAAACACCATATTTTATTTATATGTATAATCTAAGTAGCAAAGTGAACAAGCAATAAAAGGAAAATAGACTTAAAAGTATAGAGAACAAATTGGCGATTACGAGATAGGAAGGGGATGGAGGGAGAGGTGAAATAGATGAAGGGGATTAGTCAGTACAGAGTGACACTTTTTGAATAAGTCATAGGGGTGGTGCCTAGGTGGATCAGTCAGTTAAACATCTGCCTCTTGATTTCAGCTCAGGTCATGATCTCAGGGTCACAAGATTGAGTCCCTCATCAGGCTGTGCACTCAGTGGAGATTCTGCTTGAAGATTCTCTCCCTCTGCCCTCCCCTTCCCAAACTCTCTAGCTGTCTCTCAACATAATAAATAAATAAATCTTAAATAAGTCACAGGAATGAAAAGTACAGCAGAGGGAATATGGTCAGTAATATTGTAGTAGTTTTTTATAGTGACATGTTAATTACACTTAGTGTGGTGAGCGTTTTGTAATATATATAATTGTTGAATCACTGTTGTACACCTGACACTAATATTATAGGTCAATATACTTCCACGAAAGAAAGAAAAAGAGAGAGAGGGAGGGAGGGAGAAAAGAAAGAAAAAGAAAAAGAAAAAGAAAAAGAAAAGCTTACACTCACCATCATCAATGAAATTGAACCCTAAAGTAAGAATCCATCTTCCAGATTGCTTGTCACCCTCTAAATCCTGCCTCGCGCTGGGCTGTTCTCCAGGGGCTGGGCAGCAGCCACACACACCATCCAACCTCCCGGTGGCAGTTGGGGCAGTCCAGGCAGGCTTCACCAAGGGCCTCTGTGCCTTCAGAACATCCTAGCAACCCTCAGTTGGGCCAGGTTCTGGAGAACGGAACAGCATTTGGACATGTCCATTAGAAACGTGACTCAGTTTTGTTCGAGAAGGGTGATTTTGTCACTTACCTGGCTTCCAAGTCAGACCGTTCATTCATCCTCACCCACATTGCAAGCCTTTCTGTATTCCTCTTAGAGAGGTACGGTGCGGATGTGTGTATCTTGCCCAGGTGCTTTCTACTTTCCTTTTCTGATAACACTTATCTCCACATTAGTCTCCATCAATTTTGAAGTATTTCTGAGTAAACGGGCTGCGCTACATACACTTTCCTCTTATTGCCAAAGTCCCAAATCACTAGGGTCCTCAGAAGTTTTCTTTGATCACTTGTCCATTCTTCCTGATGAGCTTCATTTACATTTTGTGATGAGTATATGAATGGAAATCAACATATGGTCGATTTTCTTACCTTCAAACATCAGATCATTCCCAAGAAATTAAATTATGCTACCAATTTTTGCAGTTTGTCCCAGTCAGGATAAAAGGAGTGCATCGAGGACGCAGTGGAATGTTTTGCAGAATGAGTTACCCAGTGAAGAGAAAATAGTCATATTTGCAAGAAATGATTTGTGTTCTGTTTTTGGAGAAAACTGGAAATTTCATAGCAGTGGAGATCAGACCCAAACCCAGGAAGGGCATTTGAGGTGAGTGACCCTCCTACAGGAGAAGGGGATCAGGGCAGATTGTGAGACTAACTTGAAATTAGAGAATAGCTGAAAACACACCTCAACTATTGTACGGTCGGAATTTTCACGCAACGAAGCTTTTATGAATGCATTCTAGATCCTGATCATCTGAAAAACAGTTCAGTTGGAAGCAATGGTGAGAAAAACTATTATCTGAGAAACCTAGAGTGTTATGACTATATTTGAGTCCTCAGCCAGTGCATTAAACTTGTTTCACTTTGTTACCATGGAGACAGTGCCACAAACACGCCCATTCATTGAAAATGGCCATTATGTAGTTAAATAAGCATTAGTAAACATCAACAGGTCATTAATAAAGAGTTTGGTTATAATCATTATTCCCTAACAGTGTGCCTTCCTATTTTGAACAGAAGTCATTTGGTGGAGCGTGTCTGTGAAAGCAATGAAGGTAATCAATGTGGAGAAACCATAAGGCAGATTACAAGTTTTACTGTGCATGAGGATTGCCCTCCTGGAGAAAAATCCCATGAATGCACTAAGTATAGAGAAGCCTTCACAGATGGTTCTTTCCCTGAGAATCCAGGAAGATCTTATCCTGGACACACACCTAGTCCCTGTGAGGAATGTGGGCCAGCCTGCAGGTGTGTCTTGAGCTTTAGCCCTCATGTTGACGCACACCTTGTAGGGAAACCCTATGAACATCAGGACACTGGGAGAGGATCGAAGAGAGACTTGAAGAGTCTCAGCAGTAAAAAATCTTTAGAGTGCAAGAAATGTGGAAAAGCTTTCACTCGCACCTCTTCCTTTCAGGGTCATGTGCGAGGTCACTGTGGACAGAGAGTCCATGCGTGTGATGTGTGTGGGAAAGCTTTTATGTATCGCTCCTGTCTTACACGTCATGTGAGAACTCACACTGGAATGAAACCCAGTGATGGTACAGACTATGGGAAAGCCTACATTTGCCTCTCATACTCTCAAGATTACTCAAGTAATCAAACTGGGAAACGAACTTTTAGATGTGGGCAGTGTGGGAAAGCCTTCACTCGTCAGGCCTACCTTCTAGTACATGTGAGGACACACACTGGGGAGAGACCCTATGAATGTCAGCAATGTGAGAAGACCTTCACAGATCATGGAAATCTGCGAGAACATGTGAGAACACACACTGGGGAGAGACCCTATGAATGTCAGGAGTGTGGGAAGACCTTCAAGTATAACTCAGGCCTGCGAGCACACATGAGGACACACACTGGGGAGAGACCCTATAAATGTCAGCAGTGTGGGAAAGCCTTCACTGGTCACTATTCCCTTCTAGTACATGTGAGAACACACACAGGGGACAGGCCCTATGAATGTGTGGAGTGTGGGAAAACTTTCCAGAAGTGTGAACATTTTAAACGCCACATGACCATGCACAGCACAGTGAAACCCTATGAATGTAAGGAGTGTGGCAGAGCCTTCCGGGATCGCACAGACCTGCGAATACATATGAGGACACACACTGGGGAAAGACCCTATGAGTGCCAGCAGTGTGGGAAGACCTTCAGACATCTTGGAAATCTGCGAGGACATGTGAGAACGCACACTGGGGAGAGACCGTATGAATGTCAGCAATGTGGGAAGACCTTCAGGTATAACTCAGACCTGCGAGAACACGTGAGGACGCACACTGGGGAGAGACCCTATAAATGTCAGCAGTGTGGGAAAGCCTTCATTCGTCGCTACACCCTTCTAGTACATGTGAGAACACACACAGATGGTAGACATGTGGAATGTAAAGAGTGTGGGAAAGCATACAAGTTTTCCTCATCCCTTCGAGTGCATATGAAGAAACACACTGGGGAGAGGCGTTCACTCGTCACCGCTCCCTTCAAGAACACGTGAGGACGCACAGTGGACAGTATCCCTTTGAATCTAAGGACTCTGGTAAGACCTTCCAGTGTCCCATAAACCTGCAAGTACATGTGATGACACTCACTAGAGCAGAACCATATGAATGTCTGCACTATGAGAAAGCCTTCTGTTGTCCCTCTTCTCTTCGAGGACACATGTGAAAGCACAGTGATGTGAAACCCTATGAACTTAAGAACCATGGAAAAGCCTTCAGGTACCTCATCAATCTGGGAGCACAGACACGATGCGGGAAAACATTTATTCTCCCTTAAAATCGTTTTTAAAATGCGAGCCAGCACACTGGAGATGAACCTGAATGGACACAATTTTGGGAAGACTTCCAGTATAGAAATTCATATATTGTTCATGAAAATTCTGACAGGACAGAAACCGTTTCATTGTTATAAACATGGTTTTGTTTTTGCAAGTGCCTCTTCCTTGATAGAGATGCGAAGTGTCTTACTCCTAGGTCATGTCGCTGATATGAACACTAATGGTGGTGGTAAGTGTCCTTTGTCGTCTGCATCTGTACAACATAGACTTTGTTATCTCAGATGTGGAGTAATCACATGGTTATGTAAAACATGTCTCTTTTCCATTACAATGTCTCTTAGACCCAGGGGTGATGAGAATGTGCCTGTTTGGGGCAATGGGGATAATATAACTTTATATAATTTTAGAAAAAGATTTCTTGAATTATACATTCCAGATGTTCCTAGTGTATGATCATGACACGAGACTTGTACTGTTGAAAGTTTTTTTATGTTGTCTGTTGCAGATACTGGAGTTTCCTGATTCTATATCACCTCTTCTTTTCAGTCTTTATTATTGAAAGATATTTTCAGGGCGCCTGGGTGGTGCAGTTGGTTAAGCATCCAACTCTTCGGTTTCAGCTCAGGTTGTGATCTCAGGGTTGTGAGATCAAGCCCTGCATCAGCTCCGTGCTCAGCTCGGAGTCTGCTTGAGATTCTCTCTTCCTCCCCCTCTGCTTCTCCCCCCTCTAAAATAAATAAGTCTTAAATAAAAAAAGAAAGATATATTTTCACTTCAGCTCTCTCTTTTTATTGAATGAACAATTGTTAAAATTCTCTTATTGGTTTATCTTATCTGGGACTAACTTTTGATGTCTGTGGTCTTTCTTCCAAATTGTGACTTGGAAGAACATCCCTTTGCACTATGTTTCAGGTTTGCCTGTTTATTTCCATGATCAGTGATTGTGCTAGAAATACCAGTGAGGTGCTTTCCTCTAGCTCCCAGGAGATCATGTCTGGAGTGCCCAGTACCCTTAATATTAGCCAGAACACCTGGCTAAAAGTTGGCATCTGGTTAATTTTGGACATAGGAGCCTCTTCAGTTTTATCCACATTGGAGGTAAAAATGCATCATTGTTTCCACAGTATAACAGTCCTGAGGTACCCGAAAGGCATACCAACTATTGGACTAAATGTTTGTAGTTTTACCCTTGGATAAGGTATATGGCCAAGTAAGAGTGTGTAACTCATCCTATTGGGTTGGCTGTTGAAGGGAAATGTATTGCTGCCTTAATACCTTCAAAAGAATTTGCAGGGCGATTGGATGACTCAGTTGGTAGAGTGTGCAACTCTTGGTCTTGAGCCCCGCACTGGGTATAGAGATAACTTAAAAAAATATATTATAAAATAAAATCGTAAAGAGAATTTGGAATAGCATGCCCAAGTTATTATTTACTATTTTCATCCTTTTTAAAAGACTAATCAGTAAACTATGAAAACTCTTTATTGTTTAGAGGAGTGACATGTAAAATGCCATAGGAAGTCCAAACATGAGGTGTCCGCATTAAGCAGTCATGAGGGGTTTTGCCTGCATCCAAATGTCTGGTTCTAAGATCAGATACCCTAAGTATTGATCCTGAGTTTGAGCAAACTGCAAAATTTGATACTTTCTGTCCCTTTAAGCCAAAAGTTTAACAGATAGATGGTGTCCTCCACTGAAGGGAAGTAGAGAGTGAAATTATCTCCATATTGTAACAAAGTAGAAATGCAAAAAACTCTGTCACCCAGAGCAACTTTAGGGGTTTGTGAAAAGGAAGAAAATTATCTGTGAGTCTCTGGGGCATGACTGTCCAGGGGTATTTCTGTGCTTCCAAGTGAAAGGAAAAACTGGCTACACTTACCAACTGGAATACTAAAAATGCACTGCATAGATGAATTACAGTGGAAAATTTGCTCTCAGTGGCAATGGATGTCAGCCCATTGGGTTAGGAACAACAGAGTGTGGAGGGATGAAAATGTTATTTATTGCTGAGAGGTCCTAGACAGATGTCCATTGTCAGCCATTGGGTTTTCTCACGAGGGAAATGGTGTTACAGGGCATAGCAGAGGGTATCGTGAGACACTGAGGCTTTTAAACTTCTATTATGGTCTTGATGCCCTGAAGGGCATCTTTATTTATATTGTCTCATTCTGCCAAGAGATTTTGAAAAATACAGTTTTATCTTTATGAGGTACAATGTGGATTCTGCCAATATCAGTTGAACATGTTGCCCGTAAAGAACAAGGTAGCTGATCCAATAGGAACAAATGACCAGTGTTCCCAAGCTCTGCTATGGTGCCATCAGAGACAAGAGTGTAGAAAAGAGGCCATGGGGTCGTGTACTTCCCCTGGTTGATTATTTTGATTACTGCTGCCAAATTCTAGAATTATTTGCCCGTTTGAGGGAATCAAATTCTGGCATGATACTTTTCTAAGAAATGTCAGGTGCACACATGAATAAAGGAGAAGTAACTAAGGAGAAGGTATCTCTCCAAGGGCCTAGATGAAAAGAATAGGCTGAGAGACAGGAACCTGTGGAGATTTAAGGCCCCCACTATTGGAGCTGTTTTAGTCCTTGTGAGCAGGGGCTGCTTTCCTTCAGGAAGTTGGCCACCAGGAGTGTAGTTCTGGTGTCAACAAGGACAGAACTCATTCCCAATGCAGAGGTGGTTACATTAGCTGCTTACGAGGGAGGACTGGGATGAACCCCTGTAGTTCCCTGGAGTCCCATCATTGGGAATGAGGAGGACATTGGAACAGTCAGCTGGAGGGATGCAGCTGCCTGGAGTGCTTGTTTG